GGCATCATCAGTGAGTGCTGCTATTCTCCGCACCAAGCTACGAACTCGCCAAAGAGACAAATGTAAGGAGACTGCGACCAAACCGGGGGCCACAAGATTTTGGTAGTTATAGGCTTGACTTGTATATGTAAGTATGTGATAAGCTTGATTGTATAAGGGAAAAATGAGGCTACATTATATCAAGCTACATTCCTATTAGATATGAAAGAATGCTTACCTTTACACAGGGAACATAGATGATTCGGAAGGGTCAGATTGAACTTTTAGTAGCATCTCTCACATTGATAGACTAGAACATACTATTGAACGCAGAGTTAAATAGGAGCCTGATTATCCCTCCTGAAAATCGAATCTAACATGTATTTTTACATACGATGATATATGCTGTATTGCGGAAGAATTACCTTTATGTTTTACACACTTAAACTGGGGCATAATTATATTCAGCGCCAATACTAAAATGTGAGTAGTTATGAGGTGAAATAGATACTGTATCCTTAGTATGATCAGAGTATAGGCATCAGTATCCTTGTTCATGGCCTTGTAGCTTTCAGTTTAATTGATAGCTTTGGTATTAAGGAATATTTGTAGCAATGAAGGGCTATTTAATGCTAGAAGTATATCTGGACCAAAGGAACGACTAATAAACAGTAATATTTTACAATAAACGGTCTAGCAGTTCTATAGCAATGTTCCTGACAACTTATCACACAAAATGAAAGTTTTGAATGAGTGAACATCGTATGAGGCTCTTCAAAGCACGGATTTTAATCGGAGTTTCAGGACATCATTGTTTACCCATCTATTTACTTTTTTATTTTCATTTTGTTTTTATATCCTTTGAGCCCTTGGTTGTGAAGTTGATATTGGGGTGTGAACTCGCCTACTCTATTTGCTTTCGGCTGTTTTTATTTACTTGCGTCTGTGTGCCAATGTCTTAGCTTTTGCTTTATTTCTTATTGTCTTTCATTTTCAGGCAAATGCGATCTTTTCGGTAGCGATATCGATGAAAGAGAGTATATAGGTCTGTCGGCGTTTGACGTCAAGGCTCTGACATACTGCGAGCTGCAATGCATTCGTTTGGATCAACAGCTAGTAAGCCTTCTGACGCAGTATCCTGATTATCGATGCGAGTTTTCTGCAGCTCTGCACGACGAGCTTTCATTCAACATTCGAGAGGGCTACGATCCGTCGGTAGGTTAAGTGGGTTTAACTTCACTTATATTCGGCGGGCTTAAGTGAAGAAAAAATGTCCTTTCCTTACTTTATCCGAGGACAAACTTTTACGAGTTAAATTTATTTATCTTTTTGACTAGGGGATTTGTGACTATGACTACGACTTATGAGATCATAATAGCCTTTTAGCTCTTCTCACGTACATAACAGTGAAACCGTTAGTTCTTTTAGATTCGGCTGGAATGCCTTTTCGTGAAGCATTCGGAGTCTTTGGGCTACTTGAAAAATGCAAACCGTACTGTGCCCTCTGTCATTATTTTCATAATCTCTTCCAGAATCTGATCGTTGACGTTAAACATTTACAGATATTTTACAGTGTGGTCGTTATCATCAATGAGTAGTGACGTCATTCTCTGAGAGTAACAATAAATCGGAGTGATAAATAAAATCAATTCCTTTTACCATTTTTCTGTTAAACCTACATTTTACTTACCTTCCTTGTCTATTAGCGCTGTATATTCATCCCTCAATCCCTCATATAGTTGCCATGAGTCTCCTCAACCCCACTTTATATCCCGGTTTGCTTTAACATATATTCGAGGCGTTAGTCCCTGTGGCATGATCACATTCTCCAGTTTACTTTCCTCCGTCAGGCTTTCTAATTAGCTGGCTAACTGTATTCACTGTTTCAATAACCATATCCAGCGTACTTGAAGAAGTTTTCATATATTGAAGCAAGTGTAGGATAGCATTATAGGCTTTTTGCCTCTATGAACCATCTTTGATTCACAAATGTGAATTCATAGCTTCCACTATCGGATAGTCCCATTTATTAAGTCAACATAGGGCCAGACTAAATGTTTCACATCTCCCCAATAACTCTAGGAAGGCTGGCCT